ACCAGACCAACCTTACAAGAGATGCTAAAGGGAGTCCTTTGGACAGAGAAGCAATAACAGCCAACAACAAATGACCATTAATACACATGATGATATAACCCAGAAATGAACCCAGCTATGGAAGTATCTAAAGTAAAGAAGCCTACAAGATTGTAAACAGGGAACCAGAGACATCAATTGACAAATGGGGACAACTACAAACAAAAAAAAGGGAAAAAACTGTGTCATTACAGAACTTCTAGATGGTAGGGATGTCAAGACAACTATAAGATAGAATGGACTGTTGTAAACTTGGGAAGAAAACTATAAATCACAGGGTAACCTCAAAGAAAAATAAGAAACCTTCACATCAAAAATAAAAGAGGACAAGCACAAATATGTAGCAAATACTAAAACAATAGCAATGAAGGAAATGATAACATGGTTCATAAACAAAATGAGTTCAGCATAGAAAATTATATGGAACAAAGAAATCAACACCACGAAAAAGCACATAACAAAAATGACAGCAACAAATCCATATTTGCCGATAATTACATATCTGGCAAGGGACTTATCTCTAAGATTTATAGAAAACTCCAATGCCTCAACACCAAAGGAATTAACAATCCAATTGAAAAATGGGCAGAAGACATTAATACACACTTCACCAAGGAGTACATTCAGGTGGCCAGCTAACACATGAAGAGATGCTCATGATCATTGGCCATCAGAGAGATGCAAATCAAAACAACAATGAGATATTTTCTCACCCCAGCACTGATGGCAAGGTTCAACAAGACAGAAAATAAAGGCTGGCAGGGATGTGGAGAGATTGGCACTCTCATATACTGCTGGAGGGACTGTGAAGTCATACAACCACTGTGGAAAGCAATATGGCGATTCCTTAGAAAGCTGGAATTGGAGATATTATTTGACCCAGCAATCCCATTACTAGGTATATATCTAGAAAGGTGACAGCCAGGACAGGAACAGAAATATCCACACTCATGTTCACTGCAGCACTATTTACAATAGCAAAAAGATGTAAACAACCTACGTGCCCATCAGCGGAAGAGTGGATGACCAAACTATGGTACATACACATAATGGAATGCTATGCAGCACTGAAGAATAATGTAGATAGAGTCTGCAAAACTCTGCATATATGGATGAACTTAGAGGACCTTATGCTGAGTGAAATAAGTCAATCACAGACGGACAAATATAGTATTAGTTCATTGTTGTAGAGGGTCAAGGAAAGGTTTATATATGGAGGGAAACTTTCTTTGATTACCAGAGGTGTGAGGGGAGAGGAGGGAACATTGAAAAAAAAAAAAAAAAAGCATTGACCTATGTCAGTTTAGTTTTGTGTATTTCACTGTATAAAAATTATATTTCAATAAAATACATTAAAAAAAATTTGTTGTTGGTAGGTGCTATGAAGTCAGCTCCAACTCGGAGCGACACTACGTACAAAAGAGTGAGACGCTGCTCGGTCCTGCTCCATCGTCACAATCCTTGCTATACTTGAGCCCATTGTCTCAGCCACAGTGTCAGTCCACCTTGTTGAGGGTCCCCCCTTTTTCTAGCTGAACCTCTACCAAGCATGATATCCTTCTCCAGGGACCAGTCCCTTCTGGCAACATGACCAAAGCAGGTGAGACAAAGTCTCCTGCTACACATTTTCCAGGGCAGATTTGTTCATTCCACGGTTATTTTTGGTATTCTTCGCCAACATCACAATTCAAAGGCATCAATTCTTCTTCAATCTTCCTTATTCACTGTCCAGCTTCACATGCATATGAGGTGACTGAAAATACCATGGTTCGGGTTATGTGACCCTTAACCTTCAAAGTGACATCTTTGTTCCTTAATGCATTAAAGAGGTCTTTTGCAGCATATTTTCCCAGTGCAAGATGACATCTGATTTCCTGACTGCTACTTCCATGGGTGTTGATTGTGGATCCAAGTAAAATGAAGTCTTTGACTACTTCAATCTTTTCTCCATTTATCATGACATTGCTTATTAGTCCACTTGTGAGGATTTTTGTTTTACAACGAAGTGTAATCCCTACTGAAGACTGCATGTATTACAGCAAGCAAAGTTGTGTCATCTACATATTGCAGATGTTAATGAGTCTTCCTCCAATCCTGATGCCACGTTGTACCTCATATATTCCGGTTTCTCAGATTATTTGCTCAGCACATAGATTG